CGTGAAAAATCAGCGAGCCCAGCAACCCAAATCCCTTACAAATCCTAACTTAGTCACTTATGAATTCACAGAGGTATATGAGAAGCAATTGATAATCGCAGAAAGAGGAGAAATACAAAATGGATAAAGGTTACCCCGTGAATGTTCTAGGTATGCAACTAACTCTTCTTCTACTCTTCTTCTTTCTGGATCTGTGCGGCCTCCTATGTTTTATGTGTTTGTTGTTCGATTTGTTTGCGTTGTTACTAACTCCACGAGGTTGTGGCTGAGAATGAATTGATGAGGGTTGCAGTTTTGCAGAAGAGAATGAGTTGGTTCAGTTAAGGTTGAGTGATTGTCGCGGTTATGAGCGAAAGAGTGTGAAAAGGATGAGAGTTCTTTCTGAGGTAAGTTCTTTTCCTTCTGTACTTTCTGGTTAATCTTCTCTTGCAGATAAATTGCGAATGATCAGAGGATTAGAGAGAGTTTTATGAGTTGAGTTCTCTCTGTGTGATTTATGTGTGTACTCTGCTCTTCATTGAGTATTGTTGGTTTCTGATGTGTTTTTGCTGTGTGGGTATGATTTGTGCAGGGTCTGGTTTTTTGAGAGATTGGTGTTAGAATCCCCCCAGGTTGGATCTGTATGGCAATGTTATATTGGCAATTTTTTTGTCCTCCTCTCTAATCGAACAATGGCTGTTATTATATTGAGATGAGGGTGAAAAGTGGGGGAAAACTGTTGAGTTTTAAACTGTTTTGGAAAACTGTTTTCAGGATTTGTTCACACAATTTCCTTTAACCATTTTGATGTAATTTTTGGTTAGTATTTGCAGTGGACAGCAGGGCCATTTTTGTCTGGTTTTGACTGTTTAATAACAGGTTTTTACAGCAATATGCAGAGGCTGTTTTGCAGGGTGTTTGGACTGTTGTATAGGCTAGGCGATATCTTTCTGTCTCTTTCCTCTTTATCTTTCTATGATGCAAAACAAATGTGCTTTTTTTTTTATAATTTCTGAAGGATTTGCTATTTGGAAAATGATGATGCAGGGCTTGGAGCTATTTAATAGTTTGCCATTTTTGAATTGTTGCTGATGTGCTTGGTTTTTGCTTTGCTGTTTTGCTTTTGTTTATGCTGCATTTGGGCAGTTTGCTGGTTTTTGTTGCTGTCTTGTTGCAGGCTGCTGTTTTGCTTTTGTTTATGCTGCATTTGGGCAGTTTGCTGGTTTTTGTTGTTGTCTTGTTGCAGCTTGTTGTTATGTGTTGCTGCAGTTACCTTGTTTGCCTAGTTGCCATGCTGTTTTGGTGCTTTTCAGCTTGCATATTTGACAATTTTGACTTACTTTTGCAGTAGGAAAATAGTTGGAAACTTCTTTTCTTTTTGTTAACCAAAAAGAACAAACTTTTTGTGATTTGCAAAAATAGGAGAAGACAACCTATGATTTAAAACAAAAACCATTTTAGTTTTGATTCCAAATGCAAATCCTAATGTTGAGCTTTCTTGTTTTAACAAATAATTCTCGCTTGAATTTTCACATGTCGATTGTTTGCTAATTTTCTCCTTTTCTTGTTTCATGAACACGAGGAGTGGATGGAAAGCAAGGCAAGGTTAAAAGATGAAGAGAAGACCATGTCTAGCAAGGAGTGGATGTGTTGCTTGAAGATGAAGCAAAGAAGACTTGAAGAGGAAATATTATTTCTTTCTTTGTAAACAAAACCATTGTAGTCTGTATTGTAACTTGTAACTTAAATTGATAGAACTTGAAATTTGTAAATCTCTTGTAGTAATGTAACAACTTTGAATGATTTGCGAGATAAAAACTTGAAATTTCCTTGTGTAAACTCATTGGTCTCAAAAGCTTGAAGGAGATTGACACATAAGTGAATCAATGCGATTTCAAATATGTATTGAGTGAATTTTGTTTGATAATATTGGGTATGTTTTGGACATTGTATACCATCTTGATTCCATGAAACATGCACTCAAAATGAAACTCGCATGCCTTGCTCGATTCAAATGGAACTTCATTGCCAAACCTGAATTCAATCTCTTGATGACAAAACATATGCTTTAAGAGTATTCATAAATCTTGTAAAATTAACAACTTCAACATGAGAAACATAGTCCTGAGAAAACAATTGTGGTATGAATTGAAATTCAAAGTCTTCCAAACACAATTTTCCTTTGATCTTTGAAGATAAACTCGTAAACGACACCACTTATGACAATATGCAGAAATAATCGTCTCAAAATCCTGGGATTTGAGGAAATCACAATTCTTAGAAGTCAGACGACAATTACTTAAGATTAGGTCAAATCCATGAAGCGACCTCTAAAATATTTGAATTTTGGTGATCTTCCGTGCGTAATCAGCGCTTGATTTGTGAAGAGAAATTGAAGATGACGTCAAGGAGAGTCGTACACAAAAAGAACCGCTCAAGAATATCAATTAATGAAGAAGCTACAATCGTTTGAACTTGGTCTCGCAAAAGGCCAGCTTTTGGGTCAATGGAGTCATTTTCAGTCATCTGAACCATTGACTAAGCAAACTTGCAATGCGAGATTTGAAACTTGGCACGAATATCCTTGAGGAGACATGGAGATATATGAAGACCACTTGAATGCATTTACCGTAGTCCAGGAAGAGCTTTTTAATGTAGGTGAGCTAGATTATATCCGGGGGGACATTACATGCATTAGTAACCCTGAGCCTGAGGACATGCATTATGAAAACACACACAACTCAGCTTTAAGATATTTTCACAAAATCCTAGCCCACACCCTTTTTGGTAAAGCAGAAAACATTACCACTCTTTCTAGAGCTGAGCTTTTTATCATGTTCTGTGCTTTGCAAAACCGCCCCATAAAATGGAGCTACATTTATGCTAGCAAACTTTCACCGTCTTGCGAGAGCGATACATGAACCCATTCTCATAGGCGTCTTAGTAACCATGATATTTAATGCTATCGGGTTAAGACAATAACTGCTGAACCTTGTCCCTCAGGTTAGATTTTAACCTATAAATATATATAAATATATATTCTATTGTGTTGTCTTTAGCAAATTCATTCTTTCATATTTGTTCACTCTGTGATCAATCTTAAACATAAATATATCTTTTCTCCATTTAGGTTAAGTCTGAACACTTCCTTTGCTATCTAATTTTTTCTTCTACTAAATCAGGTCAATTATATTTATATTCTTCTTTAATTTCCTCTTCTCCTAAATCTAATGGTTGATTTATCTTTTAATTTAAATAATTATTTCTGGGTTGCATCAGGCAGAAGACTTATTGAAAATTCCACAGAAAATAAAATCCATGTAATAATCTTTGAATCATCGTTAAATTTTCACAATTGAGATATTTCTATAGAATAGCTTTTACATTTGTAATATATTAAAATAGAGTCCCAATATTTTATAAACAAAGTTATTATTAAGCAAAAAAAATAAATCATAAAATAATAAGTTTATAAAGAAATCCATAAATATGAAAAATTGCCGGGTAAAGGGAGTGGCAACGTGATAGAAAGAAACCCTTTGAGCTTATTTTGTTGTGACCGCCAAATAGTTTTGCTGAAGAAACCCTTTTTCATATAGTTTCTCAAAATCAAAACCCATTCCTTTTTGCGGTGAAAGTTTTATATGATGTTGCGACAGAATCATCCAAAGAAGAAGCTTCAAGGAACCAGGTTTACGCTAACTAGATACGCTATCATCATCTTCAACTTACTTATTTTAATTCAAGCCTTAGGGTTTGTATGCTACCAAGTGTTGGTGCAGGTGTCCGACACCAACGCAGAAATGGACACGCCTTTTTTGAGAGTTGTTTGGATTGTGTTATTTAAGCTTATCTATTTGAATAAGACTGTTTGGCAGGGTTTATGAAAACTATACATCACATTTTCACTAGTTATTTTCAGCTGATTTCGACACTCTCCGTGACAGCTTAACAAATAGCTTACAGTTTAAATAATAACTGTTTGGTTTTAGTTTACTTTCTGTTATAGAGAATACCTTATACTAGTACATATAAGCATTTTATGACGAGCACTTAATTAAGTTGTTTATCCAAATAAGCCCTTATTTGGTCAAGGTTCAGCTTAATCAGGTTATGATTGTGGATTTTGATATTGAGTTAATATTCTTGACAAGGAACACCTCGTTGAATATATATGAAGGTTGGCTTAAGGTTCTATGATAATGAAATTGTCATATGTGCATTAAATAGAGGCCTATAATGTTTGACATCTGCAGTGCTGTTTTTGGGACCTATGTTTGGCCAGCTGTGGAATATGGATGAACAATGTACACAACTCGCCAAGGAATGGGCCCGCTACTCAAGAGAATGCAGAAAATATGAAAGATAGAAACTGGTAGTGAGTTCACTGATAAGGAGAGATTATCAGACACAGCTAAGAGGAACTCTGGTGTAGTCAGTAACAAAGTCAGGGAAATTCAAGTAAGTTTCATTCTATTTAAACTATAAAATTGTAATTCTTAAATTGAAAGAGTGCCGGGAAAATTATTTGATACAAGACTCCACCGACTCTGAAAATCGTTTTCTTTCTCTCCTTATTACGCTTTTTAACAGTCTTCCATCACATTTCATTTATAATGGAAGTACTTTGTTCAATCTGCTATAGAGATTAACTACATTTTCTTGTTTAGAACTTTTATTTCACATATCTCATTATTGGGCATTTTATGATATTTGATTTGCAACATATAATCATGCAAACATACAAAAACCTTTCCAACCACATCTTTTCAATGATTAGTGTTATAACATGTCAAAAGTTGTGGGGAGTGCCTAGTACAAAGTAAGTCATTTAAAAAACCTTTACAACCACATCTTTTCAATCATCACTTTTATAACACGTTCCATCTTAATAGTATATATACTATACAAATTTATATCCATTAAGTCCCACATTGGATAGATCATCACACAAACAAGTCTTTATAAATGTTTTACATGATAGTTAGTTCGCCGAGCTGAGTAGCGTCAGCTTGTGACCCATGTGGGGGCACCAAGGTGATGGAACATGGCTAAGGCTTAACAGGATGGTCTGATGGTTGCACCATGCTGGCCTGCCCGCTCCAAGTTACGAGTTGACCCACGGGACTTGTGCGAAGGCATGGGTCTTGTGGGTCTTAGACAGGAGGGTATAGCGTGAGGCTGGTTTCACAGAGCAGCGAACACTTCCTACTCCTGACAGTGGAGGGATCACGGGCCGCTGCACCTCCGGTCCACAACACCTGGTGAGCCTAGCCCTTGAACCATCTCATTTTTTGTTGGTTCATTAGGGGGTGCCAGCCACCAAGCAACAATAAGATTATTAGAACAACCATGTTAATTTGTTGTTGTTTTCTAAATAGATTCCACCTGACATTCTATGCATTTTCTACACTTGGAGAAGCTCTAAATTCTGGTGAGCCTAGCCCTTGGATCACGGGCCGCTGCACCTCCGGTCCACAACACCTGGTGAGCCTAGCCCTTGAACCATCTCTTTTTTTGTTGGTTCATTAGGGGGTGCCAGCCACCAAGCAACAATAAGATTATTAGAACAGCCATGTTAATTTGTTGTTGTTTTCTAAATAGATTCCACCTGACATTCTATGCATTTTCTACACTTGGAGAAGCTCTAAATTCTGGTGAGCCTAGCCCTTGGATCACGGGCCGCTGCACCTCCGGTCCACAACACCTGGTGAGCCTAGCCCTTGAACCATCTCTTTTTTTGTTGGTTCATTAGGGGGTGCCAGCCACCAAGCAACAATAAGATTATTAGAACAGCCATGTTAATTTGTTGTTGTTTTCTAAATAGATTCCACCTGACATTCTATGCATTTTCTACACTTGGAGAAGCTCTAAATTCTGGCTTTTGAGGACTTTAAGGTGATAACTATAATAACTCTACAAGTTACAATATCATATTTGCTAAATAAGCTGCCTAATGCTGTTGTTGTTTAACAGAGAATCAGAACTAATCCTGACCTTGCAAATGCAAGGGCATCCCCAGAATTCGACCCGTTATTGAAAAGATTCCATGAATCATTTATCAATGCCATCAAATCAATTTTTGGAATATTTATTAAGAAATAACCCCTTTGCGTCGACACAAGAAAACAACCGGTTTAGCTCTAAGGAATTGATTGAGCAATATCATTCCATCACATTTGATTTCACCGTGTATATTTTGTAGTTAATTATAGGTCTCAATTTTTTTGTTGCCACCTTTGCAGTATCTTGTTTTATTTACTAGTATGATATACATAAGAAACTTTATGATCAATAAAATTGTCCATTTCCATTAATACTATTAATGGCACCAATCACAGCTCAATAGTTTTTGCTTCCCTCTATTCTATTATATGTTGTTTCTTTGGTTCACTCTGACGCCAAGACATGAATAGGAGACTTGAAATTCAAGCCTCTTTTATATGGTCCATCCAATTTGCCTCCTGTAGTTTGAATAAAAATATATGTGCATGGTAATGTTACTTGGACATGGTTTGAGCATGTTATATTGTTTTCCTTGTATTATTTTTTGTTTATGTGATGCTTATTTATGTAATGTCACAGGGACTGTAATTTCCCATTCTCTCTTTGAGCTTTTAAGATTATGGAGTTTGTTATTGCATTAATATTTTTGAGAAGAATAACCTTTGAACACATATGACTTTAGTACTTTGAGATTAGTGATATAATATCATGCTCAAATAGTGCATTATAAGCTTTTCAAATAATCCATTTAGCTAATTATAATAATGCATTAGAAGCCTTTCAAATAATCTATTTAGCTTCTTATATGACTTTTCACCTATAGTCATGACTAATGGCTAATAATCACATTCATTATAGTGATGATTAATCTCAACTTTTTGAATATGACTTTGATACACTTTGAGATCAATGATATCATTTCATGCTCAAAGGAGGTTATTAGAGGCCTAATTTAGTGAATATTGTATGACCAAGTTATTGTACATTACATGAGGTGTCATTTTATATATATGAACTTCAAAATTCTTTTTTAAAACGTAAAATAGTGTACTTTATGTTTGATCCATAATGTTTGAGACATGACTAAATCAAAATATTCAACATCCACAATGCTGTTTTTGGTTGAAACAAAGGTTCATGCGTTGAGAAAATTCCAAAAAGTTCAATAAATTCTGATTTGAAGATTTGTGATAAAGATCATTAGTCATAGAAGAATTCTCTTTGGTTATAAATATGTAATGCTCTTGGTCATTATTGTTATCTTCATCACTGCGGTTTTGATGTGTAGAAGCTTCAGGATTCAAAGGGCAAACAAGTTACAAAAATGTCAAAAGGAAGCAAGTAAAAAAATGGAAACTAGCATCTTTTCACAAGTGGATATTGATGCTGATGAAATAAGTCATTTGGACGAAGATAATTTAATCGGCCATGGTGCTCATGGAAAGGTTTATCGAATCACGCTGAAGAAAAACAGGATGGTTTGTGAAGCAATTAGAGAAAGGTGATGGTTGATGATTTTAGCTGCTTGATGAAGATTATGAGACAAAAATTGCTGATTTTGGTGTTGCTGAAAACTCTCAGACGGGTTTTAGCTTTTTTGCTGGTACACATGGTTATATTTCTCGAGGTATGAAATTGTAATATAGATTAGGACTGAAGAATTAATGGCATCTCATTGATATCCATTACTTTCCTGGATTTAATACTGAATTACATATAATCATGCAAAAATACAAAAGTACATCCAAAAATACAAAAAGTACAAAAATACATGCAAAAATGCAAAAATACAAAAAACGTAATGTTGTGCTGGATTAAGTAAATATTTTCCTTTATTACTCAATTGCTTATTAGAATAAGAAATAAAGGATTGGTGACTTGTTTCTTGTAACGACATGATAGACATGACATTCTTATATGAAATTGTAATCTGCAACGCCTAGTTTGAGGGAAAAAATGCTTTAATTTTGAAGCATCCAATTTTCTAAGAGTATATCTAGATTAGAATAATAAAAATAATGGTATCTTCCTGATAATCCTAATGTCCATTACTTTCTTGTTTAAATGCTGAAGGAATGCTAAGTACGAGGAAGCATTAGAGAGATTTGAGTCAGTTTTGGGAACAAAGCAGGAGCCCGATGAAGCAGCAGTGGCAAGTTATAATGTTGGTTGTTGTTACTCTAAGCTAAACCAGGTAGGTATATATGTTTGTTCACTTTACAAATTGTATGTGCTACATTCTACTACTTTGTCATTGGTTTTGGATATTCACTTTTTGAGTGTCCAGTTATCCCTCTATATATGTAGATTAAATCCCTCAACCACATTTTTCAATGATTAGTGTTATGACATGTCAAAAGTAGTTGGGGAGTACCGAGTACAAAGCAAGCCATTTAACAAACCTTTACAACCACATCTTTTCAATGATTAGTTTTATAACATGTTCCATCTAAATATTATATATACTATACGAATTTATATCCATTAAGTCCCACATTGGCTCGAACATCACACAAAAAAGTGTTCATAAATGTTTGACATGCTTGTTAGTTCGCCGAGCTGAGTAGCGCTAGCTTGTGACCCATGTGGGGGCACCAAGGTGATGGAACACGGCTAAGGCTTAATAGGTTGGTCTGTTGGTTGCACTATGCTGGCCTGCCCGCTCCAAGTTGCGAGTTGAGCCACAGGACTTGTGCGAAGGCACGGGTCTTGTGAGTCTTAGATAGGAGGGTATAGCGTGAGGCTGGTTTCACAGAGCAGCGAACACTTCCTACTCCTGACAGTGGAAGGATCACGGGCCGCTGCACCTCTAGCCCACAACACCTGGTGAGCCTAGCCTCTGAACCATCTCTTTTTGGTGGTGGGTGGGATTCATACATTTTTTAGCTTAAATCTCCGATTTACAAACACCATGGATCCTTACAGTTTGGCATAGTCCACAACACCACGGGCCGCTGCACCTCTAGCCTAGCCTCTGAACCATCTCTTTTTGGTGGTGGGTGGGATTCATACATTTTTTAGCTTAAATCTCCGATTTACAAACACCATGGATCCTTACAGTTTGGCATAGTCCACAACACCACGGGCCGCTGCACCTCTAGCCCACAACACCTGGTGAGCCTAGCCTCTGAACCATCTCTTTTTGGTGGTGGGTGGGATTCATACATTTTTTAGCTTAAATCTCCGATTTACAAACACCATGGATCCTTACAGTTTGGCATAGTCCTCAACACCACGGGCCGCTGCACCTCTAGCCTAGCCTCTGAACCATCTCTTTTTGGTGGTGGGTGGGATTCATACATTTTTTAGCTTAAATCTCCGATTTACAAACACCATGGATCCTTACAGTTTGGCATAGTCCACAACACCACGGGCCGCTGCACCTCTAGCCCACAACACCTGGTGAGCCTAGCCTCTGAACCATCTCTTTTTGGTGGTGGGTGGGATTCATACATTTTTTAGCTTAAATCTCCGATTTACAAACACCATGGATCCTTACAGTTTGGCATAGTCCAAAAAGGAAAAGCAAACAATACTCAACCTCTATTAAAAATTTCAGACATTAAGTCTCGTTACTACAAACTTGCTATTATATTAGAATAAAAGTTGAAGATCACACTCTCATTTTTGGACTCTTAATTTTAAATTTTCACTTAGTGATTAAACATCAACATATAACTCACATTTGACAGCAGAAACTACTTTGTAAATTAGCTTGTTGGCTTATAATATTTTCTATACTTGTGCTCCTAATTGGTAGTTTGGTTGAAGTGAAAACTGTTTTCATGTTCACGTGTTTATCATTTGTCCAAACAAAATCATTTCTAACAATCTCTAGAAGCTGGTGATTTTTTTTTGCAACTTTTCTGTCTAAAATTTTGAAAATGACTTTGATACACTTTGAGGTTGTTTGGTCAAGTTATTGTCCTGTGTACATTTTGTATATATGAACTTCAAAATTCTATTTTGAAAAGTAAAACCGTGTGCTTTTGTTTGATCCATAATGATTAAGTCAAAATGTTCAACATCAACAATGTACACCATATTTTGGGACTGAATCAAAATGCTTGAGATATGATAAAAATTTCCGATGCAAAACTGTCTTAAGGAAAAAAGAATTGAGGGAAAATGATTTGAGAGAAGGCTATTATGCGAGTAAAACTACAAGACTCAAAAAAATGTTTTTTTCTTGAATTGTTATTTCACATATGCCATTATTGTGCATTTTTATGAAATTTAGTTTGCAATTGAAACATATAACCATGCATACCTACAAAAATCATAGTGCTGGATTTGGTTAATCATTTCTTTTATTACTTAATTGTTTATTAAAATAAGGATTAAAGGATTGGTGTCTTTGTCCTAATAAAGACAAGATAGACATGGCAAAAACAAAACATTTTCCATAAGAAATTACAATCTGCAACACCTAGTTTGGGAGGAAAAATCAGAGCCTGATGAAGCAGCAGTGGCAAGTTATAATTTTGCTTGTTGTTACTCTAAAGCTAAACCACGTCCGTTGGAAACTAATCATACTGAGACTAAGTGGTTTACCTTAATATCAAACAACTGGTCCAAAATTTGCACAGAAACCAAACTTTATTGGCCAACACTATTAAAAATATAAAAAAAACCATTAAAATTATGATGTAAAAAGTATTTGAAGATTGGAATAAGAGGGGGCTGTAAAAAGTACTTGAAGATTGGAATAAGAGGGGGCCGCGCGAACGCAGGCCCCCATTGCAACAAATTATGATGTAGGCTCCACCACTTGGGTAGACCTTAGGTTAGCACCCCTCCTAAGTGCAATGGAGGTCACTCTCCTAGGCCATGATCCTTCATGATCAACCATTGACCCCATCCAGGTAAGTAAGTTGTGATGAAGGTATTCGAGTTCTTTTATACTCTTGCTTCTCTCAATACCTTTCACCTTCTTTCGACGTGGGACTCAACTACCCGTAGGCAAAGTATTTCCCAACTTGTGTAAGATTGATCGAAAAAAGGGTGCAAGTTGCTAGTGATTGTCAGTGGTCTAAATTGGAGACAGCAGAGCAGGTGCTGCTGCAGTGTAATAAAAGCATTTAGACTGCTGCTAGGTAGGAACATTGGAGAGAAAATCTGTCACATGTCAAAGGAGAAAGGGAGAGTATCTTTGCTATGATATTATGGAGTTTGTGGAAGAGTAGGAACTAATCAACTACCAGTAAGCAATGTATTTCCTAGGCCTTTGATAGATCTTGAGGACATCTTCCCCGGCATTCCAACTATTGCTCAATCGCTTTTTATATCCACTACTTTGTTATATGTTGGATACTAATATAGTCTGCTTCTAATCATTCCTTTCAAGTTTGACATTATGCTTCCAAAAACTCAATCAAAAATATCAGAAAGTTATGAGTTGAAAATACTCTAGAGTCCATGGTACTTACAAATCAATATACCCTATTGATTACTCGAAAACTCGAAGAAATTAAAGATTGGATATGACTAGCAAGGAGGATATGTACCCTTGATAATCACCTAAATTAGGGAAGGATTAAAGATCAAGAAATACTGCCTAGTTCGTTTTTTAGTTAGTACTTGAAACGCAGAAGGTAGGTTTCAGCTTTGCTTTCTATTTTTTATTAGTTAGCTTGTATAACATTATGAGCAGTACTATGACATTCCCATTCCTTTATGTCTCCATTAGGAAGTGGTTCATTTTGACTTAGTATTATAACACAATATAGCACACAGTTTTCTCATTCCATTTCTGCTATTAATTAAGATCCGTGAAAATTGAGTATCTTCCTCTCTTCAATTCCTTTTTCTTGTGTGAATTTGTTTGATATAGTTTCTCTCGTTTTCTTTGTTCCAGTGAAATCTTGTGTCGACATTCTGTTTTAGATCGAGTTTACGACTATCTCCTTGACATGATTTCTTGTTCAAGTTTTTTTCCTAATTATAGCTTGTTCCAGTGAAATATTGTGTCGACATTCTGTTTAAGAAAACATATGGATAGAAACAGGATCAAAAAATAATATAACATTAAAGAAAATATTGTGGATCTAGTAAGAAGGACATAAATTTGAACTAGGTTAGGTGGGGTGTGCCAGGCTATTGCAACAGTGCAACGCAAAAGCGACACTTAAGAGACCCAATAGCAAGCCATTGTAGTGGTCTCTCCCCCTCAAGAAATAAATTTAATATCGTGTGGACCATTGGCCCACATATCAGATATTAAACTGATAAGAACAGATACTACACTTGATCTTAGCCAAAAGGCCGAGAAAGGTATGAATTTAATGTCATGCTTGTTGTCTTTTTTATATCTTACATATTTTTTCTTCTTTGATAACTCAACGATGTGGTACTTTAATACTATACCTTGGAGTTTGCTCAATACTTTTGTAATTTGCTTTTATGTAACAGTAATTAAACCAAGAGGAAGACTGTCTCGTTCATATACATTTTCTGTTTAAAGTGATTTTGTTCATGCAAAGAAGTGGATCTCATTTTTTGCAATAACAGTATTAAATAGGTAACAACTCTTGTCGTCTTTTTTGGTTTAATTAATAATTTTGAAATATAACATTTGTTAGAACAAGACCGAATCTAGAGTTTCCTTAAATGCCTCAAAACTAAAGCAGTAAAATCCCGGCAAAAGTTGAACTGTTTCCCTAATTAAGTTCAATTTAACAAAAACCAAGTCCTAAGTCCTTAAATAAGTGGCGAATGAAAATTATTAGGCGGTTTAGTAAACATAGTTTTGACATTTGTGCATATCATTATGTATAACGTTGTATATATACTCACACACCAGAAGTCATTCTTTTTACTAATGAATGAACATTTATCATAATCTCTGTTTTTTGTATACCTTCATCATTTTATGAGAACAATTGTCAAATACACATATTGAATTAAACTCTATAATGGAGTTTGGGAATGAATATTGTACTTGAGCTAAGATCCTAATTTATTCTATGTATGTCTGAAAACTAAATCACAATATTATGCTATCATATCATCACATAAAATATTATACCGACAAAGTTTGAACATTTGAAGTACAATCAGTTTGGCATGTTTGTTACTAATCCTCTTACCATTATTTCCTTCATTTTTATCTTGCCCTTGACATTTCATAATAGAAATATATTCTTTAATAAACATGGCAGAAACAACATGTTTTTTTTATGAAATGTTAATCTGCGTTTTGTATCTTGGAATGTTATTTTCCTATACTTTCAGTCAACTGCCACTTGATTAAATCCTTGCATGCCTACTATGGTTGCAATATCGGCTGTAACATTTTTGGATTAGTGTTGTAACATGTTAAAACTAGTTTGGGAGTGCTCAGGACAAAGTAAGTCATTTAAGAAACCATGTGCCAACTTAATACTATGCAAATTTATATCCATTAAATTCCGCAAATGTATTAAGAGCTGCGAGGGTATAGTGTGAGGCTGGTTTCACAGAGCAGTGGACACCTCCTACTCCTGAGAGTGGAGGGAACACAGGCTGTTGCACCTCCAGTCCACAATATTGAAATAAGGAGTATAGGATTGGTGACTTTTTTCTTGTAAAGATATGATAGAGATGTACGACACAAAACATTTGCCATATGAAATTGTAATGTATATTAGGACCAAAGAATTAATGGCATCTTCTTAAGGTTCATTACTTTCCTGGATTAAATGTTGATGGAATGCCAAGTACAAGGAAACATTAGAGAAATTTGATTTTGTTTTGGGAACAAACCAGAAGTTGAAGAAGCAGCATTCACAAACACCATACCAAGTTTTTTCTCTATCATCTTCATTTGGTGAAAGATAGCTTTGTTGTCATGGAATGATTCGGTTCACATACTAGGTCCTGAATCACTATTGCCTCCAGT